TTGGTTTTTAGCTTCCCATCTCCCCATATCTGATTCTTGTAGACTGAGTAATTTTATTTGTACATTTCAATTTATTTATGGAATATTAAAATATTTCTCCAACTGATTTTTAATTTTTATCTACAAATTAAAATACAAAGGCTGATCTTTAGATGGTATGGCTAGAATTAACTTTGTATCACTTCTCCACAAAGAAGTTTTTTCCTTCCTCTTGGATGACAGAGATAAAGACATAGATATAGATAGATATGGATGCAGACACAGATACAGATATATTACCTCTCTAGGTGCTGAAACCCTAGTTATACAATACTAGCCACACTGTTGTAACTTTTGCTTTCAACTATCTCTCAGATTTAAAGCATGGTATTAAAAGAGCAGTATACTATATTGCCCAGTTATCAGTCATTTCTCTTGTTCTTCCTGTGTTATTGGCATTCCAAATTTCATACCGATATTTTTCTTCCCTTAGAAGAGCAAAATCCCTTTAGAACAGGTCTGCCAAGGATGTATGTCCTTAGTTTTCCTTCTTCTGCAATGATGTGTATTTCAACTTAATATTTTGTTATTAAGTATATATTTGTTTTGCTAGGTTTAGATTTTTAGGTTGAGGATGCTTTCCTTTTAGCCTTTAAGCAATGCCACCACATTGTGTCCTGGTTCTATAGTTTCTGGTGAGAAAACTACTGCCATTTGAATAATTCCTTTTCTAAATATAATGGAACATTTTTCTCTGGTTGTTTCTAACTTTTTTTCATAAATTTGAGTACTTGGATTAAAGCATGTCTGGTTGTAGAATTCTTTGAATTTGTCATGCTGAAACACATGAAATTTTTAAATCTTGTTTATTTCTTGCTAAATTCATGATAAATTGAGTCATTATTATTATTGTTATTATTATTGTTATTGTTATTGTTATTATTATTATTATTATTTACATCTCAACTGCAATTTCCACTCCCTCCTCCCTTCCTAATTCTTCCCCACACCATCCTTCTGTCCCCTCCAACTATTTCTTCTCTGTATCTATTTAGATAAGGGCAGGCTTCCTATGGATATCAACAAAACATGGCTTATTAAGTTGCAGTAAGACTAAGCACCTTCCCTGTATTAAGGCTGGACAAGGCAACCCAGTCTGAGGAGTAGGGTCTCAAAATCTTACAAAAGAGTCAGAGACAGCCCTGCCCCCACTGTTAAGAGTTGCACAAGAAGACCAAGTTACACAACTGTCACATATATGCATAGTACCTAGGTCAGTCCCATACAGTCTCCCTGGTTGTCTGTTCAGTCACTGTGAACCCCTATGAACCCAGGTTAGTTGATTCTTTGGGTTTTTATATAAAATCCTTGACCCCTCTGGGTCCCACAATCCTTCCTATCCCTCTTCTGCAGGGTTCCCTGAGTTCTGCCTAATTGGATCTGCGTCTGTTTCCATCGGTTGCTGGGTGATGCCTCTCTGGTGACAGTTGGGTTAGGAACCAATCTATGAGTATAGCAGAATGTCATTAGGCATCATTATATTGATTTTTTATCTTGCCAGTCCTGTTTAATTCTATTCTAGTTCTCTGGGCAATCCAAACTCTGGGTCTTGTTGCTTCAGGCAGTGTCAGGGAAGGGCTTACTCTCATAGCATGAGCTTAGGCTGGAGTAGTTATTAGTTGGCCACTTCCACAATTTCTGTGCGGCCTTTACCCCATCTTGTAGGTAGGAAAAAATTGCAGGAACAAGGATATGTGGTTGGATTGGTGTCTTAATCCCTCCACCACTAGAAGTCTTGCCTCATTACCGACATAGCCAGTTCAGGCTATGTATCCCTTATTGCTAAGAGTCTCAGCTGGGGCCATTCTTTTGGGAGGGCTGGTTTATTTTAATTATGAAAAGCAGCTTTATAAACCTAGAATTAATTTACTCAATGGTCAGTTTTAGTACTCATTTGATATATGCCAATAATCCTAATGTTAAATCAGTTGTGGAAAGGAAACATTGGTCCTGTGACTTCCCCAACAGAGTGTCTACATCTGCACAGGGGCCATTCTTGTAGTTTCCGTCACACTAGACTTCTACCTCACGACAAAATGCCCCGAATTTCCAGTTGTTTCTCTCAGAATCCTTATCCCTAATGGGTCCCCTCCATCTGACGATTCATGTTCTCATCCTCCCCTAACCCCAGTCCACCTGCAAAGTCTGTTCTATTTTCCCTTCCAGAGAGGTCCAAGCAGCCCACCTTGAGCCCTCCTTGTTACGTAACTGTCCTAGGTCTGTGGATTGTAGCCTGGTTACCCTTTACTTCACAGCTAATATCCACTTATGAGTGAGTACATGCCACCTTGGTCTTTCTTGGTCTGGGTTACCTCACTCAGGAAGATTTTTTTTTCTAGTTCCCTCCATTTGCTGCAAATTTCATGATGTCTGTTTTTAACAGCTGAGTAATACTCCATTGTATAAATATGCCACATTTTCTTTATCCATTCTTAGATTGAGGGGCATCTAGGTTGTTTCCAGGTTCTGGCTATTATAAATCAAGCTGCTATGAACATAATTGAGCAAGTGTCCATGTGGCATGGTTGGGCATCCTTTTGGTATATGCCCAGAAGTGGTAGAGCTGAGTCTAGATAGATGAACAATTTTCTGAGAAACCAGCGTATATATTGATTTCCAAAGTGTCTGTACAAGTTTGCACTCCCACCAGTAATGGAAGAGTGTTCCCCCTTGTTCAACATCCTCTCCAACATGAGATATAACATATATATATATATATATATATATATATATATATACAGATGCCATTCTGACAGATGTAAGATGGAATCTCTGAGTCATTTTGATTTGCTTTCACCTGATGGGGTAAGGATGGTGAACATCTCTTTAAGTGTTTCATGATTGTTTGAGAGTCTTCTGTTGAGAATTCCCTGTTTAGAGGGGCAGGTGTTGGAGATAGGGTTTCTCTGTGTAGCTTTGTAGGCCTGGCTGGCCTCAAACTCATGGAGATCTGCCTCCCTCTGCCTCCTAAAGGCTGGGAGTAAAGGCATGTGCCACCACCACCCTGCTGATATCCCATTTTTTAATTGAAGTATTTGGGTCTTTTTAAAATTTCTAGTTTCTTGACATCTATGTATATGTATATGGATTGGAAATTACTCATTTGTCAGATGTGGGGTTGGTGAAGACCTTTTCCCATTCTGTAGACTGCAGTTTTGTTTAATTGAAGTTGATCTTTGTTTTACAGAAGCTTTTCAATTTCATGAGGCCTTACTTATTAAATGTCAGTCTTTGTCTTCACTGTTTGTGTCTGTACAGGAAGTTCTCTCAGGTGCTAATGCATTCAAGGCTATTCCCTACTTTCTCTTCTGTCCTGTTCAGTGTATCTGGATTTATGTTGGGATCTTTGATCCACTTGGCCTTGCGTTTTTCACTAGGCAATAGGTATGGATCTATTTGCTTTCTTCTACATGCTGACATCCTTTTATACCAGCATCATTTCTTGAAGATACTTTCTTTTTTCCATTGTATAATTTTGGCTTCTTTGTCAGAAATCAGGTTTCCATAGGTGTACGAATTTACATCTGTGTCCTAGATTCAATTATATTGATCCACCTGTCTGTTTCTATGCCAACTCTGTGGTTTTTATTACTATATTTTATTACTACATAGTACAACTGGGAAGTTTCTTTTATTGTACAAGATTGTTTTAGCTAACCTGGATTTTTTTGTTTTTCCATATGAAGTTGAGTATTGTCCTTTCAGGGTCTATAAAGAATTGTGCTAGTATTTTGATGGGGATTTTTGTTGAATCTGTAGATTGCTTTTGGTAAGATTGCTATTTTTCTATGTTAATTCTACCAATCCATGAGCATAGGAGGTCTTTCCATCTTCTGATATTTTCTTCAATTTCTTTAAAGACTTAAAGTTTCTTGTCAAATGGGTCTTTCTCTTGCTTGGCTAGAATTACACCAAGATATTTTATATTATTTGTGACGATTGTGAAGAGTCTTGTTTCTCTGATTTCTATTTCAGCCACTTGTCATTTGTGTATAAAAAGACTACTGTTTGTTGTTGTTGTTAATCTTCTATCTGGCTGCTTTGCTGAAGGTGTTTATCAGCTATAGGAGTTCCCTGGTAGAATTTTTGGGGATCACTTATGTAAACTATCATATTGTCTTCAAATGTAGATACTTTTATTTCTTCCTTTCCTATTTGCATTCCCTTGATCTCCTTTAGTTGTCTTATTGCTCTACCTAGAATGTCAAGTCTATATTGAATATATTTGGAGAGAGTGAACAGCCTTGTTTTGTCCCTGATTTTAATGGAATTTGCTTTTGAGTGTCTCTCCATTTATTTATTTTGATTTTAGCTGTTGGCTTGCTGTAAATTGCCTTTACTATGTTTAGGTATGTTCCTTGTATCCTTAACCTTCCAGAACTTTTATCATGAAGGGGTATTGGATTTTGTCAAAGGTTGTAGAGCAACTAATAAGATGACCAATTGGGGTGTGGTTTTCCAGCTTGTTTATATAGTGGATTATATTGATAGGTTTTAGTATGTCACCATCACTGTATCTGTGGTATGAAGCCTACTTGATCATAGTGGATGATTTTGTTTTTTTGATGTACTCTTGGATTCACTTTGCAAGTTCTGATCGAGTATTTTGCATCAGTGTTCATGGGAGATGTAGGTCTGTAATTCTTTCTTTGTCAGGTCTTTGTGGGGTTTGGGTATCATGACCATGGCCTCATAAAAAGAATTTGGTAATGTTACTTCTGTTTGTATTTGTGGAATAATTTGAAGAGTATTTGATGGGGAATGTAATGTGTATGTTTATCTTATTGGTTGTTAAATAAAATACTGTTTGGCCAATGAGAAAGCAAGTTAGACGGGATAGAAGTCAAAGAGGATTCTGGGAAATGTAGTAGAAAAGTGATGATCCAGGCAGGAAGTGACATAGCAAGGAGACTCATATTTAAGCGGAGGAGAAACAGGAAGAGTCCCTTTTTCCCGTTCCCCTGCTCCAGAGGCACAATGTGATCCACAAGCAAGAAGGGACGCCAATAAGGTGTCCGATAAGATAAGTCTTATAAAATATATAGATTTATGATAGTTAAGACTGAGCTAACAGATGAGAATCCTAGTCATTGTCCAAGCAGCTTTGAACCTAAAACAAGTTTCTGTGTATTCATTTGGGCCTAACTGGGGTGGGCAGCTGGTGTAAAGCTCACACGTGGCGGTGGGGCTCAGGCAGCTTTTGGCAGAAAGATTTATCGTAACAATATTGGCATTAACCCTTCTTTGAAAGTCTGGTCCAATTCTGTGCCGAAACCATCTGTCCCTGGGATTTTTTTTGGGGGGGTGGGGTTGAAGATCTTTAATGAATGCCTCTATTCCCTTAGTGATTATGAGTTTATTTAAATTGTTTATCTGATCTTGATTTAACTTTGGTAAGTGGAATCTATCAAGAAATTTGTCTCTTTCTTTCATATTTTCCAATTTTGTAGAGTAAAGTTTTTTGGCGTATGACCTAATGATTCTCTGGATTTCCTCAGTGTGTATTGTTACATCCAACTTTTCATTTCTGATTTTGTTACTTGGGATATCCTCTCTCTGCCTTTTAGTTAGTTTAGATAGGGGTTTTTCTAGCTTGTTGATTTTCTCAAAGAACTAGCCTTTTGTTTCACTGAATCTTTGTATTGTCCTCTTTGTTTCTATTTTAGTGATTTCAGCCCTCAGTTCGATTATTTCCTGCTGTCTACTCCTCTTTGGTACATTTGCTTCTTTTTTGTCCTAGAGCTTTAGGTGTACCATTAAGTTGCTAATAGGAGATTTCTCCAAATTCTTTATAAAGGCACTTCTTGCTATGATCTTTCCTCTTACTACAGCTTTCATTGTGCCCCTTATGTTCAGGTATGTTGTGCATTCACTTTACTTGAACTCTAGGGAAGTCACTCACCTCATTCTTTACTTCTGACTTGTCCCAGTAGTTACTCAACATCAAGTTGTTCAAGTTTCATGAAATTATAGGTTTTCTGTCATTGTTGAAATCCAGCTTCAATCTGTGGTGTTCTGATGGGATGGGGGGCAGGGGTGTTTCAAATTTCTTGTGTGAGACTTGCTTTGTGACTACGTATGTGCAGTGCTCCATTGTGTATATGTACCCCATTTTCTTTACACATTCTTTGGTTGAGGAGCATCAAGGTTGTTTCCAGGTTCTGGCTATTTTATGAATAATGCTGCTATGAACACGGTTGAGTAAATGCCCTTGTGGTGTGATTGTGCATCCTTTGGGTATATGCCCAAGAATGCAGAGTTTGTTGACTCCCCATGGGAAGCCTTACCCTTTCTGAGGAGTGGATAGAGTGTGAGTTGGGGGAAAGAAGGGGTTAGCAGGTGGAGGGGAAGGAGTGGGAACTGGGAATGGTATGTAAAATGAGAAAAAAATTGTTTTTAAAATTAAAAAAGATGATAAACATTTATTCAACAAAATACAACCCAAGATATGCTCTCTAATGATCACATCCTTAAGAATGGCAGCAGAAACTTATTCAAAGTATTTCTTTTCTCTGGTTAAAATTACATTTCTGTAAGAGCTGAGAGGCTTGTATACATAGTAAAATCACAGTAATATTCTTGAGTCTGAGCTGAGATATTTCAGGTTGTGTTGCTTGGCATCTTGTGACTTGATAGGATGTATAGTGCAAAGTCAGCATGCTGTGAGTTCAGGACTGAGGTTTTCGTGAAGTGGGTGATGCAGCAGAGGTGGGTGCTGCCGGACTGATCGCATTTACTTACATTCCTGACTTACATTTCTCATCTGACTTGCAACTGACTTTTGCTTGTTTTTCATTAAAATAAAGTTCGATACTGCCAGTTTTCATGATCTGCACATTCAGTTACATATACCCAGATGGGCTGGCAGCACACATTCAAGAAGCTCCATTTAAGGCCCTAAGCAAAACTTGAAATTATTGTTAAAGATTATGAAAACCTTAAAATTAAAAAACCCTAGGAATTAAAAAGCAAAAAAGTGAAAGACCAGGAACTAACTCAATTAGAATTCTAAATTATTAACTCCTAAAAATAAAATTAAGATTCAAATTCAACTAATACTCTTTTGCATAATAAATTATGTGCTATACACAATATTTAAGACACTGTTAGAAATGAGAGGGAAATATAAAATTAGAAATTTTAAGAACAATCTAATTTAATAATGATATTCCACCAATTTCATGTCAACTGCATTTAAGAACTATATAAACATTCATAAATGCATAATTTTATTTACTTAGAAGTTTATATATTTATTCCACAACCTTGTGCTTCTAAACTGAACCTCAGAAGAGACTTGTCAAAACTTTGATACTTAGAGGACTAAGTTATGACTTGGTGATTAAAAGCCCTGATGGGTGACAAAAACAGAAATATTACCCAGGAGTTCGCAGGCCATTTAACCTAGAGGATAGGCAAAGTGACAGAAATCAGAAAGAATTTGCCTCCATACAAGGTAGAAATTGAGATCCATCTCCCCACCCACATCTAACCTCCACAAGTATGCTATAACATGTTACACTCAAACACATATACATTGAATGTACATGTATGCACACATACCACAAAAGAAAGTAAAGAAAGCTTGACATTTTTCAATATTGTCTATGTAGTAAATATTTCTGTGAACATAACAAAATGGATTTCCTTTAGCCCTTGGCTTGAAGATTTGCATAATAGAGTTCAATAGCCGGCATCAGGTCATTCAGATACACAGCCTTCATTCACAAGGATTTTGACTGGCTTATATATTAATCCCCACAAAATTTTGATTGCTGTTCACCTCACTTTCCTTGGAAGGCACTTTCCACACCTTTAAGTAGCGTTTCAAGAGAGAAAGGCATAGTGGTTCAACGGGAGAGAAATCACCTGGTGCTGGAAATCAAGCTAACTCGGTGCTGGTGAAGTCATGGTTATCAGAGGAGAATCTAATCTAATCTAATCTAATCTAATCTAATCTAATCTAATCTAATACAACCTCTAATCAACAAATTCAGCATTAACTCTAACAACAATCTATAAACATCTATACTTATACCCACAAATTGTAGTCTTCACCCTTCATCAAGAAAATTTCTTTTTGCAACAGACAGAAGCCACCACAGAAAACCACAACCAATCAAGATGCAAAGTTGTGGATCTCAGTCCCAGTGTATCCATCTAAAATACAACTCTGCTCCTAAGGCTCAGGAAAAATGACCACAGAAGTGGAAAGGTTGTAACAGTCAGAAGATCAGGGACTTTTCCTTGAAATTGAGTCTTCTACTAGCATCAAGAGCTATACCTGTCAGTTCTCACTAACATCACTGCCCTAATGTGAGCTACATAAGAAGGGCGCCTATAGACATGCCGGACTGGATGGGGAACCCTACACAAAAAACTATAGACAGCTGACGAAAGCAGGTAGGTAGGTGCTCTTCCTCAGAGAACAGCAGATCAGTTAGTCATCCAGTGCCAAGTGATCAACCATGAGAGCATACATACAAGAAACATTATGTGAACCATGCATTGGTGCTGCACACCTTTAATCCAAGCACTCGGGAGGCAGAGGCAGGCAGATCTCTGGTTTCCAGAGTGAGTGCCAGGATAGGCTCCAAAGCTACACAGAGAAACCCTGTCTCGAAAATCAGAAAGAACAAACAAACAAAAGAAACATTATGTGAACTTAACAGACAATATTTAGGAATATAGGTGTATATACATAGACATGTAAATGTATACATGTAATAACTATTAGTGGTAAAAAGGGACCATGAATGTGAAGGAGATACAGAGAGGTATGGATGGGTTTGGAGGAGAAAAGGGAAGGGAGAGATGTAACTATGAGAGAGAGAGAGAGAGGGAAGAGAGAGAGGAGAGAGAGAGAGAGAGGGAGAGAGAGAGAAAGGACATGCTACCAGTGATGTCCTTACTAGTCACCGCCAATCATGAATCAGTTTGTTCAGAGGTATTCCTTCCTCTCTACCCGTGACTGCTATTAGCTGCAGTCCAAGGAGACTTCTTTTTCCTCCAGCTATTTCTATCAGGAGGCCCTAAGTTTAGCAGTGTGGAGGATTGAAATAGATCCTGCTTAGGTTGAGAGATGCCTCTCTCGTGCAGTAGCAATTACTTCTTGAGATTACGGAACCCCTCAGAACATCATTTTCATTTGGATGCTTCTTTTGCTGTGCTTGCTTCTGCCCTTCAGACCTTTGGTCTTTTGGGTGCATGCCAATTCTCTCTCCTTCTTCATCAATAACAAATATTTAATGACTGTCTCTTGTGCAGGGTGAGGCATGACAAGTACACACTGTGTAATTACTACATCCCCAACTTTTGGCCATGATAGATTTCTTAATTGATTGTCCCTGGTCTCCGTGAGCCCAGATGAAACCTTCCCTACACAAGTGGTTGATTCCAAGCCATCAAACATGAAACAAGAATGAACTATGCCAAACTATAAAAAAAGCAAAGATGTATATAATATGGGAAAATAAGAGTCTTTCTAAATCTCATGTGAGAATCATTAATGAATACAACTTGATAGAACAAAAGAAAAATGCAACTTTAGCTTAAAAATATAGCCCTGTCCAGATCTTCTCTTTGGTCATATTTTAATTCTCATTGACATTCTGCCCCTAATAACTGCTTTAGAATAACAGAGATATATTGTTCTATGTTAAGAGACATATCGATTTACATTGATATAAGCGTTTTACAAGGAATACTACTAGCATAATTATTTCTTGTATCTTTATTATCTTAGTATAAAGATAGTCTACACACATATTATGTTTGTAGACATAGTAATGTATGTTCTGTTATGTGGATATAATCACCTTTTGTGGACAAAGAGGTTAGATAATGGTTCCTGGGGACTGCTATCATTATGAAAAGGGGCTGACCACAGTTACACAAAACTTTAATGTTCACACACATGAGCTACAGAAAATAAGCACACTTGTATCCTGTATTTGAAACTCAAATGGGAGCTTGGATAGATTTTGGAGTCCACAGCCCTGGCCCACGTTGATGTTGCAGAAGAAACTAAAATGTAAATTGGCCATGTGTGGCACTGTGTGGTGTACTTTGGGATACTTGCCGATTTGTTTCGTGGTCCTCAACTTTTCTGCAGTTGTCCTTCACAATTGCTCATCCTCATAGTCCCTCACCTGCCAATCTCCAAGAAGAACCTGTGAAATGGTCTGTTACTTGGCAGCAGACAGAAGCAGAGGAGCTAGGGTGTTGACTTGGGTCCATACGCATGCAGATTTCTGGCTGAGAGGAAATTTTGCGCCCTGTGCTTTGACTTGGACAGAGGTCTCTGGTCCATGTCCACTTTCCCAGAGAGGAGGAGAACTATTTACCTGGGGCATAAATATTTCAGGCGCAGCAAGGGCACCTTTCTATCCAAGCTGGCACACTGCTTGTTTATTTGGAAAACTTTTGCTTGGTGGCAGCATGGCAGTTGGACTCGGAAATTTTTGATTCTCCACCATCATTCCTCTTGCCACTTGAAACTTGTGGTGACATATGCTTATTAATCTTAGTTAAAAGACACCTGCCCAGATGGTGTCTACCTGGGAACAGTCACAGTCATCAATCCTTCTCTAATCAGCTGTGTTCTTCCCTCTCGGCAGCACACCAATTTGTTGAGCAGACCAAAAGCTGCTTCACCTTGGTCATGAGTGGCTCATGCCATGGATGGGAATGAAACCCATGCTTAGCCCTGAGCAATCAGCGCACTTATGTCCTATAATCCCTGACCTTCAGTTGACAGAATCAATCACGTGTTCTTCTTGTTAGGGTCCCCAGGTCCAGTCCTGAGCTGCCCGCTACAGCTACATTTGCGGTCCCAGGATGCATTGAGAACAGCTGCACACAGCGGGATTCTAATCACAGCTGGGTCTGAGGAGGCAATGGAAGCGGGTGCTGGGCTGTGATTGGAGAGCCTTCCCTACCACTCCAGTGGGTATTAGCATTGCTTCCTGGAAAACCCAGAGTATTTGCGGCTTGCCACAGGGGCTAGACGTCTATAAACAGAAACATTATTCTAGGGTGAAATTAGCCAAGGTATTAAAATGATAAATGCAAACTGGAGCAGGCTCGGTAGTTGGGAGAAAGAGAATAAAGCACCAATGATCTGTGAAATAATAAACAGCCCAGACCATTAGAGGAGAGAGCGAGCGGTGAGGCCGCCAGTGGTGACATGATATTTCCCGCATCCCGGTATGTCAAAGGGGGAATTACTGTATTTTTACCTCATGCTTCCTTCCGGCTTGTGGGTCTGAGGAGCGTAGGGTATGCCTTGACAATTTAAACAACCAGCATTAGGCGGTGCGCATTTGATGTCTAATTAAGTCCTTCGTGCAGCAGGACCACAAGCACCCTCCGTCATCGGCATCGTTAGAGCCTGCTCACAACCAAAATGCGAAGATGTATAAATCTGCAATCAATTCTCAAAAGGCTAGAACGCTAGGAATTCATTTCCACAGTGATGCCCTGGGACTTATAAGCTGGTTTCAAATGATCCCTTAGGAGGGAATAAGGGCATTGATACGCCCCAAGAATTATCAAGACAATAAAATATTGTTTAAAAATAATAATGCATTTCATCTGTGTTTGGTTCTCTTGGAACAAATATCTTCTCACTAACTAAATACTGTGACATGCTAAGAAGAATGAGATTTATTGAGGAAGACTTTAGGCATGCATTTCCTTCTGTTCCTGAGTTCACAGTTATGACAGCTTTCAAGTTCTCAGGAAAAGAGCAGTGGGTCACTGAATTTCCACTTCCAGAGAGTGACACGTGACACATAGGTGTTGTCCTTCACGTGTCAGCTTCTCTATTCCAACCTCTGATTAAAGAGCAAGGCTGTAGATTTTCACTCCTTATACAAAAAAGCTAATATCCTGGTTTGTAATTAGGCATTCATGTCTTATGTGTGTGCAAAACAAACAAACAAACAAAAAAACAAACTTAGAAATATAACTCTGTGCAGATTAGGATTCTAGACAACAATGTCATAAAAGCTAGTAGGATCTGATTCAAATTTATAGTCTTTAAAAAGACATATTTTAATAGTGATTCTTTCCAGAGTTTAGATTTCCTGGATATTTATGGCAAATTATCTCAAAGAACGCCTTTTAAAATATCTCTACACTACTTCAGTGCCTCGGAAACTAAAATGAAGCTCCTGCCTGACAAATTACTTTGCCTACAAATAAGATACATGTGTGGGGTCTTTTCTCCCTTATTGTAGAGACTGATAATTGGATTTAGAGTCTTGCAATCTGGTGTTGACTTTTGATAAGAACCTGAAATGTGAAGAAAGGATGCTGGCTACTCCGTGCACATTGCCGTCACTAGCCCACCCTGTGAAGAGAAAAGCCAAGCCGGTAGGCAATGTTTCAGTCCTCCATGCCCGATGAAACGGGAGGCAGAGATGCACTTTCCAACCAGCTGTGTACTTTGGTTCCAGCTGACTGACAGTACAAAGAAAATGTGTCAGTCATGAATATTAAGTGTCTTTCTAGCAGTTCTCTTCCAGATGGAAGCAATGTGCACATTGGAGTGAAGCGTCTTCCGGTGGATGAGTTTTCTTATTTATACTTTGGCAAATCATGTTGCCTTTCATCTGTGATTTCCACCTTCATACCCTACTGGGGAGTTTCTTTGGAAAGCATATTCACTTAGTTTCTTTCAAATTTCTTCACACACACACCTCACCCCAAACTATTGATAGCCAAGTCTTGCTGGTGCAAACACCTTCATTATCTCACTTTTGGTCGCTGTGAATATATACCACAGCCCCATGTTCTTAACCCACTGATAACAAAATACTGGCTATATCATCGGAGTATTATAATGATCAAATGAATTTTAGAATCCATTTTGACATATATTTCCTAGGTATGGTGAATACATATGCTTGTTGTCAATAAAAACTCTGAATTCCCCTGCTCATTCTGTGAGCTAAACAAGGATGCAGAGGTCATGAGGGACTAGAAATGTTGAGTCATGTGTACAAGAAAGGATATGTGATAGGTAGGGTTTTAGTTGGGGGGTGGTAGGGGAGGAAGGGAGGGAGAAGAGAACTGGGATTGTCATGCAATTCAATCTTGTTTGTAATTCAAATAAAAAAGCAAAGAAACAAAAATTATTTAATATGAAACAATATAAAAAGATTATTTTTAATGTGTTTTT